TCAACGCACATAGAATTGACACGTTCGGTCAGATAATATCCCGCAGTTGCTGAGTCACAACAGCCCAAGCAGGAGATCAACAAAAATGAGAGCAGAATGACCGATTGCGTAAAAAAAACTCTTATCCTACTTACGAGTGCACCAATCAAAAAGCAAGGGCAACACGAAGATAAGTGCGAGCAAAAACCCAAGTCCAAATTCCGAGAAGTTGAACAACGGGCAAATGGCCCGAAGCCGAAATCAAAATTTATGTACACGAGATAAGAGGGAGAAAAGATAAAAGAAACAGCAAAAGCGCGTTCATCAACCTCAACTCTCTCTCTCTTCTTCTCCGATGCGGACAGTCCGTCGTCGCGCACCAACCCACGAAGCTGTCACCCCGCTTAGTCGTCCCGCACCCGTCAGGTTCGCCCGCGCCCACAGTCCGTCGTGGCCTGCGTCAACCCAGCGCGTTTGGCACTAGCTCAGCGGATCGCCCGACTCCTGCTCTACTCACCTCTTACTTCGCTCGTGTGACGACCCTTCCTGATCGCGCAGCCCCGAGCTTCTAACAACTGGTTAAGAAAGCTGACTAATCGCGCAACCGGAATTTATAGTGTTCATGCATGCACAAAGAACACGGAATTACAAGGACTTAGAAGAAGGGAAGGGGGAGGGATTGCCTACTTCTGCATGGTCTGATCGCAGTGTGGGGGACGTAGCCGCTCTCCACGCACCGATCCGATCATGCAGACCGCGGCTACCGAAAACGCAGCAAAAGAAAGAGAAGAAAAACTCGTATGAAAAACCCCCTATCCCATTGAACACTGCGATCATGGCTTGAAACGATACCGATCTATATTCCAAGTGCTTACCTGCTTATTCTACGTAAACTGTGTTCCTATCTCAGAATACATCTTACGCCTTCCTAAGTATCATACCGAGCATCCAAAAAACAGATATCCAACAATCAACTCCATACCAGCGGTTTGACTGTGGATTAAACCTTTTACACTTAACACTGAATCGATCATTGCACCCAAGGCAAAATAACATACTCTGGAGTCCAGCAAAGTCATACGTTGCAACTGATGTGTTGATCAAGTTGACCTTGCTCCACTCGTTAGCTGCCGGGAAATATCCTCAACACCGCTGATAACTAAAACACAGAAGCACGAAACAAAGGCTAATAAATCATAACAGCCACAACCCATTCCATCAGACCTCCGCATCTCTCTCAGTTCTCAGTTCGGGTACGCCTACTTACTCGTAGCCAAATAGCTCCCGGACATCTTCATAGCCATATGGCTCCCGGATATTGCATGAAATTATGCTCAATTGTTTTCGGGATGGTTCTACTTGGGAAAGCTTATCTGCAAAACTTACACCACCATGAGGCAGTTCCTCTCTGCTTCAATGAGGATATGTTAATTAACCATTCATTTGATGAAAGACATTTGTGTTCTGTTTATCATTGAAGAGAAGCAATTTTGGCTATTTTGTCTTTGACTATCATTCTTAACCACTTGACTAGCCAAAAACCTTCCTTACTAATGTTGTGGCGGACCCGCCGGGATGGTGGTCCGTCAGGATGAGGACGAAGGGTGGAGGGTGGAGGAGATGGAAATGAAGTTCGAAGGGACACCGCAGTTCCGACGTGAACTCGACACATACGTACTCCAAAATGTGCAGAATGAAGAATGGAATGAAAACAGACTGCAGCTGGGGTATACCGCCAGCGGGCTGACTGGACTATACTTGATTAACTTAGTACTAACAGTGGTAACGGGCAGAACTGGACTCCAGTGGACTGAAATAGCACACGGCCTATGGGGCCAGGTCACGGCCTGGTCCCACAGGCCAAATAGGCAAATAGTCTGATAGGCCCTGACTATAGGTCAGGGCAGATAGAGGTCTATTGCGTGATCCTCAGACTTGTAGTGGATCACAACAACCATAAACACGCTATCCGCAAAAGGAGCGGAACTCTGTAATAAAGAAAGGTGAGAAATCTAAGATGCGGAGCAAGCTTCATGCGGAGTCCATGCGATGCAGCCTAAGCTACACAATGTCCAATGAAAAACAAATATATGGTATACACATCCTAACCAACAACAAAAAATGAAATGTAGCAAGATACAATCCTAAAGTCATGGAGGCATGTGTTTCTGAGTCAATGCTGAAACGAAAAGGGAACAATATATCACAAGTAATGTCATGTCGCTGAACCACTAGAAGTGGGATCCACTAGAAGTGGGATGGTCTCAGAGAGGGTGAATGCAGCCTAAGAATAAAAACTCCTAAGGGCAGTTACATGCGAGGTGGGGTAGGTCATCAAGCTGAGGGTGATGAAGTCGTAGCGATGCAAAACCAATGACCCTAACTGATAGACCATCAAGGCGGGGAATGCTCGATGAAAGGGTGACACCATGCAGGGTCGACCATGAAAGGGGAGCCTGAAATAGGGTGGACATATGCCTAAGTGAAGGCATGCAATGATCGACGCTAGGGTGATGAGGGATGCAAAGGGTGAGGGAAACATGCACACAACTCACGGACAAGGGGAGGGAGCTAAATTTGGGAGCACAAAAGTCAAGATAACACTACGGTTTCAATGCCTATGCGATACCAAGGGAGAACCCAACATAGAGAGACCAAGCTGAGTTAGAACCATCATGCAACACATGCAAGGGGAATTTCAGAGTAGGGTAGTGGCGTAGGGGAGTCACGTCCAAAGTAGTTGAAGTCGCCGAAGTGGTCGATAACGTCGATGAAGTAGGAGTCAAGTCGATGTCGAAGCAGAGCCGCAAAATGCTAACATCTTGAAGAAGCTGATGATGGAGTACCTGAAGGTGTGAGTCAGTAAAAAGATGGCAGGTAATCAGACTGTTAGTCGTCGAGACGGCGAGGGCATTGACGAGTGCGTTGTGGACGCACATAGACGTTCGTCTGCTGTTGAAGAACGGCCTAAGAGGGAGCGGGCTCGTCCTCGGCAATCTCCTCAGTCGGAGGAGGAGGAAGAGGGTCAGTCGACTGAGTAGGAGAAGATGTCTCAACACAACGAGCACGATCATATACACGCACCAACATCCTTGTATGCTCCATCGAAGGGCTCCCAAGTAGCTTTATCATCAGGATAGCTCTTCCAATGCACAAGGTACTCGATGGGTGGAGGGGTATCGTCGGTAACTCGGCGAGATACGATGTCGGAAACAACGAACTCCTCGTGATCGTTCACCATGATAGGTTGAGGGCGCTCATAAGGACGTCTGATGAAGTGCTCAGACAGTCTGCAATAAGGACGCAATAATGAGACGTGGTAAATATTATGTACTCGAGCTTGTCGAAGGTAATCAGGTAGCTTCATATGAAAGTTGACCGGACTAGCGACAATATCATAATCGACGGCCTGAGGGATGCGGCATGGACCGTAGAAGCGACGCCTGAATTTGCGAAGCGTATCCGCTTCCAGCTGCAAGTGGCGTTTATCGACGAGCACATCGTCACCGACTTTGAATGAATGATCCATTCATGATCGGTTCCCTCGTTCGACCATGCGAGTATGGGAGTCAGCTAGACTCTAGTGTGCGCTTCATAATCATTGTCATGTGGGCGATTCAGTCATCAATTGCAAGACAACGAGTATCTAGGCGCAACCGCGCCGGTCGTAGGAAGTTTGCAGGTACGCGAGGGTGGTAGCCAAGGTCGCAATAGAATGACGACATCCCTGTGGTTGGCGAAACAACGTGGTTGTACACAATCTCCCCATGAGCTAAGTGTAAGTCTCACTGCTGGTCACCCCTAATAAACTTTCAGAGGATATTACCGAGAGTTTTATTACTGACCTCAGTCTGACCATCCGTCTGTTGTGTATCTTTTTAATGGAGAATGGGCGGAATTCAACGCCCGAACACCCGTTTGACGGGTCCCTGGACCCCCGTTAAACCGCGTTAAACGCAAAAACGAGGGTGTCGCGTCGAATTCCGAAAAACAGAATTCGCGCGTTGGGCCTCTGACACGTGTACCTACGTACCCAAACACTCAAACCGGAAAAAAAAATAAAAAAATTACGACCCTCCCATAACCCCCCCCCCACACCCTTCATGGCCCCAAAAACCACGCTTAAACCCCAAACACCCTCCGTCCCCTCAACCTACACATTTTAAACAACACCCCCAACCCCCACTACCCCTCACACCCA